AGAACATCATTGATGAAATGAAAATCTCCACCTAAGAACAAACTGACTATTTTGCCTTTTAGCTTAAAATCTGGCGACTGAATTCTTTTAATGTCGTTGGCATAATGCCTGAGAATTAAGGCAATATTCTCATGACAGTCTGAACCCTGATACATACAAAACAAATGAACATCACATACAGACCCTGATGATTTAGAATTGAAACTTCAAAATGGAATTTCACATACTTTACACCCTTATCCCCAGCAAAAAGGAGCCATACCTCTTCGCCAAAACCAACATCCGAATTAAGGTGGTCGTGTACATAAAGACTATTAAAAACCTCTTGTCAAATTCTTGACCATCAGTACAGATACTAAACAAGGTGCTTCATTCGCAGATGGATAAAGTAACATGGACTTCGCAGTGACATGTTCTTTATTGACATGCATTGTCCGCATTTCTTGTTCTTGTCTTATCTTGGGCTCAGAGGCAAGAATCCTTGCAACAAGATTATACAGAATACGTCTTAACCTACGGAATTCAGCTGTGGGCATCCTTAATTGGCTCTGCAGCTCTACAGTATCAGAAACACTTAATTGCCTAACTAAACCTAACTTGTTTGCTACATAACATTTTATTGACTTTTCACAAAACATAGAATCACAAAACAACATAGACAAATCACTTTCTAAATCTGAACAAACTAATAATCGAAGAAATATAAAAGCAAATTTAGATCGTCTAGCTGCAGAATGTCTACTTAACTTAGAATAAGGTTTACCATGACCTAACTTAATATAAGTATATTTTTTACCAACTATGGGCCTTTCAACTGATATAGTCTGTGAATTACTCAACTTAAATCCACAGAACAATTCAGAAGAACCAATGTTGACATAGTCTAAATAAGAATCCACAACAACTAAATCCTTATCACCACTTAAAAAACGTTTGCAAATCTGGCAACTATTCTGGTTTATATCACTAATTTTTGCATTATTTTTTTCAAGTTTAATTTTTTTTAGCAAACTGACATTTTTAGCACGAGCAGATGCAAATTTACGTTGTGCTGTTTTGATTTTTTTTTTTAATAAGTTGGAACTGCTCCTCCTGTTTTAGCCTTATACTTATAGTCTTTAATTGATAACTTAATGAGTTACAATGTGTGTTGAAAGCCTTGTTTTTCGAACTTAAATCTGTAATTTCAGCTTCCAACTTAAATAACTGAGTTTTTAATATCTCTATTTGCTCCATATTTGTTTTATTTTCAGAGGTTAACTTGTCAACTTGACTCAGTAGCTCCTTATTCTTATTTAAAATAAAAAATTCCTCTGCATCTGCTGAATTTTTTTTTTTTTCTACATGGAGCTTGCGACAGTTGCATATTAAAAACGGTTCATTTTTTAAAGAAGTATTTTTATAATGAATTTTTTTGCGTACTAACTTTCTGCACATCAGGTTAAATTCCTCATTGCTAGGCAAAATAAAGTCTATTGGCAAGATATAGCTCATAAAACTATATAAATCTTTTCTTAATTGAAAAACTGACATTAAAATTGAAATTACTTTGTTAGTGATTTTATCACTGCTAATTATTCGCTTAACTAAAGGAAAGTTACAATCATCTTTCCAACAATCTTCCCATTCAATATATAGTTGCAAAACTTTTCTCTCTGCAGAATACATAGTTACAAAACAAACACTTACGTTACAATACAAATACAATATAAACAACTTAATTAAAATTATTATTTGACAAATAGATGCAATAGATGTAATAACAAACTTATCTGATAACAGTCGAATTCTCCACAAGTCAAGAATATTTCGCCAAACTTTGTTTATTTTATACTTAAAAATTTGTCTCGCCAAAATAGTAGTTCATTTGAAATTGCTAAGATAATTGCTTGGGACGTAACGCATTTAAGGTTACGTCATCGCTTTTTAATGTTTATAAAAATTTACGCAAAAACTGAAAATATTTGTTGCTAAACAGATAATAGCTGACATAGCTAGAGGTACAGAAAATAGGTTTTTTGTTTTCATATGCATAAAAGGTTAAAATTTCAATAACTTATGTTACTGATCAAAAATGTTAAATTTTACATTTAAAAATAATAAAATTAAATATATAAATGCAATACAATTTTTTTTTTTGATAAATACACACCAGTAACGTTAGAATATGATAAAATAGACACTCATTAATAAGTGCTCTAAATTTCAACCGTTAAGTATTTAGCTATGTCAGCTAATCTTTGTTGGTTTTCATTACAAATCTCAAAAAACAGAAAAGTGATCCCAAATCAATTTCAATATTTTAACAATATTTTATTATAGTCCGTTTAATTTAAATATTTTTTTAACAAAGAAAGATAGATCTTTTATTTATTTTTTATTCAAAGATGAAAGCATTTATAGAAAAAAAATAGTATTATTTTAAAGTTAGTAAATTTTTATACTTTTTATGCGGAAATACTTTTTTTTTTTGATAAACTCATGACGTCATGCTCACTTTTATATAGAGTGAAATAGCCGTGACCTGCTGGTTGATTGCCATGCTGCTTGGGAGGAAGAAAGGCTTTGAAATGTTCTGCCAAAAAAAAACAAAGCTAGATGAGCAGTTTTTTTTTGTATTTGGCTGTTGGGTTATACTTGACACTTGTCAAGGCCAATAATCTGGGAGATACTTCTCTGAATTTTCTCTGCTACAATGGTTTTCGCTCTAATCTTTTGGCTAGATAAACTCCCCATTTTCAACTTGCCAGCCGTTAGATAAAATTCTTATATAATTTTTTTTGATACTCTTTCATAGTTATAATAAATATCTAAGTTAATATTTAAAATCTTGTTCAAAAGCCTAAAATTATGTATTAGTTTTATTATGAACAAATATATCAACTAGGTTACATGAACTGGATTATTTCAACTGGGTTTGTTAGCTTGAGAATGATACCAAATAACTTATTAAGTGAATAATATAATAATATGTTATATTACATCAACTGATCACATCACCATCATGTGATGATGCACATCACCATCATGTGATGATGCACATCACCATCATGTGATGATGCACATCACCATCATGTGATGATGCACATCACCATCATGTGATGATGCACATCACCATCATGTGATGATGCACATCACCATCATGTGATGATGCACATCACCATCATGTGATGATCACATCACCATCATGTGATGATGCTTGTGTTGATGAGGTATAAAGTATACATTACATCAATTAATATAAGTTTAAAATATAAGTAAACAATTTTTTTTCCTGATTCATATAAAAAGCATTTAAATTTATATTTTGAAATTTACAGATTTAAAAACTTTTTTGTCTTCAAAACTATCTTATGTTATGTTCTTAATGTCTTTATACAAAACTTTTTGTTTCCAAGTGCTTATATTACTACATACTCACAGGAATTTAAATACAAGCTGGGATGGGAATAAAAATAGGTGGGGTGGAAATTTTTTCTAGGAGATTGTCTTCAAATGTAATAATTGTAGAGGTTCTTTTTTTTATTTAAAAAAGAACCTCTAGAATTCAAATAACCAAGGGGACGGATGAATTCCCCAATGCACAAAAATATCCCAGATGTAAATGAAGGACTTATAAAACAAGTTACATTATTAATTTGTATTGAATAATATTAGACAGTAGCAGTCTGGACCCGTATAATACGAATCTTGATAAGTCTATGTTTGTAGCAAGAAAACCCAGACTATAAATTAAAAACAAAACAAAATCTTACTATAACAATCCCTCGTCCAAATTTGAATAAGATTTTAAATACGTTTTTTAGGTGAAATGAACAACATAGTTTAATAATGTGCGGCCGTGGCGCAGTGGTTAGAGCACTTGCTTTATAAGCAGGAGTTCCTGGTTCGAAACAAGCTTTAGACATATTTTGCGTCACGGTAAGGAAGGGGGGGGTGAACTTCCTGGTTAAATGCACTTCCGCGTTGCTTTGTGACAAGACCGTCAGGACCTCTTGGGGCACCTTAATAACATTAAAAAAAAAAAAAGATCTGTTTCAATCGTTAATTGGCAATATTCCATAATTATAAGCACTTTTTTGGTCGGAATTCTAGTATTTTTTGTGAAAATTGATAGAAATATTGTATTTTGACAACTATATAGTCAATATACGTCAGTACTGATTAAAACTAGGATCTATAGTAGGTTAAGGCACTTTTGGGTAGTAAAAAGGTTTTGAAATTTATATATAAAAACAAGAAAAGTTTCTTTAAATATAAAAATACGCTAAAGCGAAAAAAATTAAAACATCTAAAGCTCTTGTTTGGACTTAATACGCTGATAAAATCATGCTAATTTCAAATAAAAGAATTTGAATAATTTGTAAATCGCTTTAATTGCACCAAGCGAGTCCTCAAAATATACTAACCCCCTTCACTCCTCTTTAGAGTGTGACGTAATTTATGGAAGACCCCTAGGCATATTGTTCTATAAATGTTTCAACACTATTAAATAAATATAAGGCATTATAAAACGGCAAAGAAATGCTATAAATTAAAATGAAAGAGATGTTGCCGCAATTCAATTTTCAACTAAAAGTAAAACTGTAAAACTTGATGTATGTTTTACCATTACATAATTTGAAGTTAACATAGGTTAGATATTACCATACACTTTTGCTCACATTTTCTTAAACAACAAGTGCTGCAACACTTTCTCGCCGTTTACTCGGGTGTAATGGCTGCCTCTAGTAGAATGAGTAAAGGCAGCATCATTAAATTTTAAATTAAAATATTATAGGATGTATTGATCATGTTACACTTTAAGGTTTAATAAATAATTATAATGGGTTTGTTATCAGTTTTTCAGATGAACTTTCTTTCTTGATAACAAATAAAATTATTAAACAAGGTGGGGTGGGGGGTTAATAAAAAAGTTGATAAACTCGGAGTGGATTGGAAAATTTCCAAAAATTAATGAATTTGTAACGTCTTTGTTTGACTATGCTTTATTTAAATAG